TCTTTCATAAATGCTGAGAAATATCTGTCAAGTGAATTTCTGTCTTTCTGTATTTAATTTCTGTTAAGAATGGTCCATTTTGTTACATCAAAGTGCTTTGGAATTAAATACTTGTCTTCTTTTTTCTCCCTTCCAGCAGAAGTAATACGGAAGGGTAACAGAAAAGATGATTTGTCTAACTTGTCTATAAGTTTTCAACACTTTATCTTCACAGTTGGTTCAACATGGCCACTGCACTGATCTGACTTTACTGGACAGAAACAGAAAGGAAAATAAATGTTTCTTCTTAGTACTTTGACCTTAAAATACCACAAACACCATCCATCTTCTTGTGTTATTCGTGTTATTTTCAAATTGAATCACTCAGCACATCAGGTCAAAAAGTCAGAGGCCACCATTTCTTCTCCCTGCTAGCAGGATAGAAAGCTTTGATAGGAACAAGTGTTTGCCGATTTTTTTAAAAATGTAATTTTAGGCTTTGGTAAGCACCAAGACTTTAATTTCTATCCAAAGTATTTAAAATGATCCTTTTTAAAAATGGAAAATACTTACCACTTTCCACCCATGTTAATAATCAAAATGCTTCTGTTTTCTAGACAGAGAAAAAGTTGGGTTTGCAGTCTATTTTTACTAAAAACCTGATTTGTTGGTCCTATTCTTTTCTCACTGATATGAGTAGGCAAAACTCCCTTCCCTGCCAGGAGGGGCATGTCTAGGTCCATTTCTTTCATAACAGGGCTGACAAAGATCTTGGGCTTTGGTCCAAGAGCGGTATCTTCCGGGGTCACTTCAAGTTCTGCCTAGTTGAAAAATTTAGCAATAAATGTCATGTCAGTATTTCCAGATAATGAAGAGTTATCGTGTCTGAGGGCCCCCTGTGGAGCTGTTAGCATTGGCAGCGTGTAGCACAGGTTTGCACTGAAGGCGAAGGCGTTGGGTCTGCAGGGTCATCCCCATGCTCATCGACCGGTAAAGGGAGGCTACACCAAGTAGACTGATGCTGAGTTAGACCTAGGGGAGGTCTTGCACTTTCGTACCACTGTGAAAGTCACAAGATGCTTTCTTTTTCTCTATTTCCTTTTCTTTTTCTTTTTTTTAATAAACATTTGCATGAAACTAGTGTTTGAAAAAAATTCACAGTAAAAGTGCAAGAGCTACTCCAGAGTAGTCAATGACCAGTTGTTGGCATTTGCTGGGGACAAGTGTGTTTCAGGTTATGCAAGTTGTAAATTTGATCAAGTCAGGTAAAGACTGACTATGAGTCTCCTCAGCTCTCTCTTGGTCTCCTTTTCTATGTCCTTCCCTCTCTCTTTGCTCCTCAGCTTAGAAAACATTCCCAATAAAAGTTCAATCGAAACAGCACTCTCCCGTGGAGTTTCAGATCAGATGAAAATGATTTTGCTGATAAATTCCTTGAAACTCCAGAAATGTGAAGTGATTTTACCTGAAGGGTAATTTGTTATAGACATGTTGCCCATTAATTGAGATAATCTCCAACAATGATGATGAACAGAGATGATCAGGGATTGTACTTTTAAAATGCCATTCTGACTAGAAAAGCAATTTGAGATCCACTTACATCTCAGTAATGAAAATTGGGTAAGGTAATAAGAGATTTCATTTTGTGAGTGAATTGACAATGCAAATACCAGGATTTTTAATTTAGGTTTAAGTGGAGTAATGGCTACTCATTCTGATGCATCATTAGTCATATTGCTTTTTAATGAGGGATTCACTTTCTTTTCCTGGTTAGCTCTAACACTGATAGCGAAGCCCAATGAATGCGTACATGTTTAGGGAGGTCTGATGAATACGTGTCCCTGCACCGTTTTAATTTAAAAAAGGAAGAAAAAGCAGTTTTCCTTCTATGGTGAAGAAATACACATTTGCTTTTAGTGCAAGGAAAATAAATAGTGCAGAACTGTGATTGGTAGGCTGTTGTAAAAAATACTTAGAGTAAGATACATTTTGAAACAAATTCTAGAAAATATGGAAGGAAAATTGCATTGAGTGGAGTGCTTGTGAAAGGAACTGGCTTTATGGCTAACAGCGGTAGGAAAAAGTGGTTCTTTGGCTCTCTCCAACACAGATACATTATAAATAATGGCAAATGAAGATTCTTCTTGCCCTACCAAACCCACCCCATGCCCCAAACATCTCATTCTTCTTCTGGATAGATCTCTGTTCAGCATTTTTATTTCTTGGATGTCTTTTGTTTTCTTTTCCTTTTATTTTTGTTCCTTTTTCCTGTCTTTTAATTAAGAGGTGGTTTTGATGTTCATTGAACTCAGTGGGAATCTTTCCATCAAATTGAATGCATTAGGTCAGATTCATAATCAACAGTCACTGAAACAACCTAACAATAGTTTTGTCACACACAAGTGCACTGTCTTAAACAGGATTTGCTTAAAAAAAGCAATAGAACTAATCCATTATAAACACTTGTTAGAGCAGAGTTTTGACTGTATCTGTATATTTACCAACACAATTTCAACCAATCTAAGCCAAATTGAAATTAATGCAGACTCTTGCTCCAGGCAGGAGCATAGGGCAGTTAAATTAAATCAATTTAAACTAGCGTAGTTTTAGCCACGGCAGTATGATATTGTGCATTGACTAGACTTAGGTCTGGTTGCCTTACTTCCTTTGGTGGGCAAGGCATTTTGACTTTCTATGAGGACAAGCTGTAGTGTGATGAAACACATGGCTACGTCTAATGTAGACCAACCCATTCAGATATGGGGGCAAGAGAACAAGTTTCTGGGAGGCAAACAAATGTCCACCAAATCTCTCTTTCTCATGCCTGTTTCTACACTCCTGGTGCCCCATAAGCACGTGGCATCTTGCAAGTCTCTGTGCGGTTTGCAAAAGCCTGAGCAATCCAGGGCCTCTAAACACTGGCGAGGCAGTGCACGTCCTTCTGGAGCAGAGCCTTCGAGGAGATCTGTGACCACTGGGCTCTCCAGCACAAAGCTACAACCTCACATTTTCGCTCTGCTGTTTTATTCTGCTTTTCCCTTGCCCGTGCATGCAGTTCCCGTTTGACACAGATGTCAGGGAAGGGTACATGAGCTCCTCAGCTGACAAACTAAAGGAATGGGTAGCAGAGTGTTGGGACCTCCAGGAGGTTGCTGTGCCCCTGTACACATACAATAGTGAAGAAGAGGTTGCACACAGGAGGGCAGTGGAAGTGTAACCAGCCAGGGTAAAATCCTTTCAGGATAACCACCAAGAGACCCCTACATATCACATACCTGGGACAATGCCAGTAAACTAAGAGTCTTCTCATCATCTTCCTTTGTGACCTGCTAACCTTCCTTTGAAAGTATATACCTTCCAGGCATGGTGGAGGAAACTCAATTTTGCAGCAGATTTTTTAGCTTCAGAAGGAGTTATTGCCTTCAGATCTTTCTGTCTCTGACGCTCTATTGTGAAATGCGAAAGAAATATAGGCCACGATCTTCTCTGATGCCACCTTGTAAATTCAAGGGAATCCCAGACGTCCAATATGCTGAAGTCATTCCGTATCACTTGACTCCATGTGAGGCACAACGGTTCCCAGCAGATTGGGTGATACAGGACTAGCATCCATTTCTCATGATGGCTTTCTTGAAAACTGCCCTTCTCTTCACAGCTTGTAAAAGGAAAGTTGATAGGGTGAGCGCGCCAGAACGGTTGTGAAAGCACTGGGTCACGCTAGATGTTTTAACCTAAGAAAACAACATTTTGAAATAAAACCAAAGCTGAACATGTCTGAAAATAGGCCATGTAGCTACAAGAACATGTTTCTGATGCTGATAGAAAATGATGTATCCACTCTGAATGCACAAATTCTTCTCTGCTAAATGGCAGCAAGAAATGGAAATGAACTTTCCATATTTCCAGAGATCTGTGCACGGCCACAGTCCCCAAAGTCTCAGTTATGGTCAAGCCTTTGGGGTTACTGAGGGGTTTTTATATACAGTTGAGCTGATTTATGAGATTTCCTGTTAAATTTTATTGCACCAGTGGCTTTTCTTTGGTTCTTTTGAAGTAGAAAACATCATTTCTGCTGCAAATGCAAGTCAAAAGTCTTAATGGAGCATAAAAATCTAAAAAGTCATGATTTTATAGCTTTAAAATAGAGGACAGTGCACTGCTTGATACTCTTAAAAATATGAAAAGTTAATGAGGATGTTTATTGGTAATAAAAAGATATAATCTTCTCCCAGACCTTTGATTTTGGTTACTTGTGTATTGGCTTTTTATGGGTGTACTTTTATAAATGAGAAACTCCTCTTGTTCTAGGACCATCCTGTTTCAGAATCACAGTGAGAGAAAACTAATAACATGAGGCAGAAACTTTGTCCCAGCGAGATTACTCAGTACCCTTGACACCCAGCGCTGCTTCTCCCTTTGAGTGCAGACTATTGATTTCATATATATGGTTTCTAGGGTCATATAGACTACTTTTATTTGTTTGACTTTGTTTAAGACCCGTGGGCGCACGCAAATTTATAACCAAATAAGAAACTGTTCCTGTCACACACATTTTGCAAGCTTAGGTCAATCACAGTAGCACTGTTTACAAACTCTGCTTTCCACATGCGGGTGATTGGTATTACCTATGCTGTTTTAAAAAGAAAAATCTAGAATTCTTTTGCTGATTTCAATATAAATCTGAAGCCTTAAAAATACTTTTTCATTTGCATCTTAACAAATGTTTTTAACAGACATGTAGGAACTTAGGTAAAATAAAAATGCCTTCTTGCTGTATCACTTGATGGAGTAGACCTTGAACAGTTCACCTCCAACTGCTTGCAAATGTTTTCTCCAGGTGTGGGCATGGAAAAAGCCTTCTATTACAATGATGTTCACTATCGCTGCTGTTGCAAGGAGAAGTAATGGGAACTGGTTACGGGATAGAAACGGTCATGGGAAAAGCCAATACAGAGGAGGGGCACAGCTTTCCTTCGTCTTGTTAATATGGAGTGTCCTGTTTTCTGTCCTTGTCTTTGCAGCAGACCAGCATGGGGGACCTGAGGACTCTGAGGAAAGGGTTGTCCCCGTACCACTCTGAGACACAGCTCTCGTCACTGCCACAGTATCAAGATGCCCTGCAAAACGTAAGAGACGCTTCTTTACCTATACAGACAGAGCTGCGGGTTTCCCTGAAAGTGGGCATGGCTGGAGGGGGCACATGAAGATTCCAGGGGAGCTCTCCCAGCTGAGAATTCACCCTGAAACCAATGGTGCAAACGTGCAGCTGAAACCTGCAGCTGTTGGGAAGATGGGGAGCCCCTGGAAACATTGATCTTTACCTGAGTTTGGATCATCAGCTTCCCAGGACAGGTTTTTCAGTTAACTGGCGGTCACTGTTGTGCATCTCTTAAAGCAAGGGTGAATCTTGTTATACCTGCAGCTCCTTCTTTGTAAATGCCCTGTATGCCTGCTGTCAAAAAGCTGGTCGTGGATGAGGTGAAGGATGGTTTGCCAAGTGTCTGGCAGCGCGTGGTCGGGGTTGCTTTAGCGATTAAGTTCTTAGGACTTTCATTGCAGGTTTTTCTGTATCACAAATGAGGTTTGTTTCTCAATATTTGCTTGCATTGCTTCTCAAACAACAGAAGAATCTCGATTAAAGCCTCTTGTGAAAGATAGATACTGTGCTGCTGTGCCAGGGCTCCTCCTGCACTGATGTGCCAGGCATGGCTGAGGAGGCCTAGCCCTGCCAGATGATTGTCTGCCAGATGTTTGCCTGGCTGCCTGAGACACTACATTTGCTGGGTGACATTGTTTTCCAGATTGCAGGAAAAGTGTAGATGCAGTCGGGGAGTCCTGCTGTGAGTGGACTGTGAGTGTCATGAACGTGAGCAAAAGCCTGATGGCAGCATGTCGCAAATGGGTGACTTAGAATGCTTAAGGAATCGCTGACAAAGGTATTGGCAAAAGTGGTTTAAATATGATGATGTAAAAGTGCGACTTAACAAAGTTTGATGGCAAGGTTCATTCTATTAATTACTGCATGGAAGAACCATAAAAAGGAAAATGGAGTAATACTCAAGTTAGAATGATTCACGGAGAGACTGGAGATGCAGAGTAAGGAATACCCTCCTGTTGAGTCACAAGGTTCAGAGCAGACCCCCTTGCTTTCTAAACTCCTGATGGAGTTTAGGTCCGGCTAGGTCCAGACTTAGTCTCAGACTTGGTCAACAGTTTATGTCTAAGGGATTGTACATGCAAACTTTATATAATGTTTCATTAGCATCAATTCAGCATGCAATCAAAGTTACCAAGACAAAATCAAAGTTACCATACTACAAGGTTATGCTCGATCTTGGTCGCTTACCAAAGATCTTTCATTGGTAAAAGGTCTCTCTTCCTCGAGGAGCAACCTTGAGAGGTATCCCAGCTCAAGGGGAGATCACTGCCATGCAGCCACACTGGTCAGCAGAGCTGCGGGTACTGTAGGACCAGTTGTATGTTGGCTGCCTGCTTTGGTAAAAGTCATTCTGTAGATTTAGTGTGCCTCTTAGAGCTGTAAAAAAGGGTGTAATAATAATTTAAGAAAGTTTGCATAAATAAAACTCCAGTGTGAAAGCAGAGGCCCTTTCTATCCCTGCTGAATTTTGCAGGCTGGATGGAGACCTCCCAGCCAAAAAAAAGGGACAAAACCATGCAAATGAAATGGAAGACTGTGGCTGAATATCCACTTTTCTAACTTTGTGCCCCATATATGAAGTCGGGAATCTTTATAAGGAGGGCAGAGAGATGTGAGCCTGAAGACGTTTGTCTGACTGTGCCAGCGCCTTACAGTTTTGGGGATTTTGCTTCACTTCCCTCGTGCTCAGGCTTTTGATCCCCAGCGTGGTTCCAGGCTGGAGACGCTCAGTCGGCCTGTGCTGGTTGAGCCGAGGAGTGCCGCTACACACAATTTTACGTTTATCTTGTGATCAGGCTGGGATACAGCTGGCAGCTTTCTGCAGAGGAGCTGTGCCTGGGCTGGGAGCTGGCAGGAGACTTCTCTGCCTGACATCAGGCCCCGCAGCCCAGCGGGGCTGCGTGAGGGCTGGTGGCAGACGGTGCTGCCTGCTGGAGCCCTTCCCGGCCACTTGTCCTTGCTTTCCCTCCTTCCTCAAGGAAGAGGTGGCACCTGGTGTTTATAGAGAGGCCCGGCTGCTGCGTGACACTCACCTTCATCTGTCACCCTGGCTGTGTTCTGCCTTCTTTGCGGGAAGATGATAGAGAAAAACCAAAACCAGCTCTGGATCCAAATCCACCTTATCTGGAATACATACATAGCCATTTATTTATTTATTCCAACCAAAATCCCTTTGGTTTGTGGCTTGACGTGAAATACTGTTTTTGAGACCAAGTATAACGATCACTAGTTCATGCAGGTGTCTTGGAATGTCTCAGGCACCTCCCAGAAAGTGAGACAGTTAGATGTACCTGACTTTCTCTGCAGCCTTTTTTTTTGACAGCAGGCATGAGTTTGTGAGAAATCGTTCCTCTTTGTGCCTGCACAAGCTTCAGGCGGGTGAGTGATGGACAATTGGTTTTGGCTCCAAAGCTGTCACATCCATTCAGGGTTTCATCATCATCGCTGCCTGTGCAACTCTTTGGGGAAGTTCCTCAGCACATCCCTTGCTGTCTGTCACACAGTTTGCACGTAGGCATCACTCCAGCTCTCCATGGCCCTGACATACCTCAGTTAATAAAACAGCTTGGTGTTTCTAATGCATCCTGGGTCATGGACACTGGTACACGCTCAAGATGCAGAATCGAAAGACACTCATAATTGCAATCTGTGTGCTGTTTAGTCAGTGGTGCATCATGCAGATGTGAATTATAGATTTGCTTTGTGATTGCAGTGGTTACCACATATCCAGGAAAAGCAGTCCCAGGGAGTTAGTTCTGACCTACAAGCCCCTGGCCATTGCAAGGGAAGGTGTGACATGTATGTTAGCTTGAATTGATAGCAGGCTGGTCAAACTCCTCAGCCCCGGGAACTGCAAACCAGAGTCATCTCATGGTGTACCAGAGGCTCCCTGTGTCCTTTGGGATGTGAGAGCAATTCCCTCAGGCTTGGACTCTGAGTGAGGCATGAAAGGAGGTGGCAACAAGCAGCTCCCTGTGGGACCTGCCATTCCCCTGGGATGAGAGAGGCAGGCTCCAGGGCAAGCTGGTTGGGCTGGCTCGATCTTCCCCATCGCCGGCAGCCTCCAGACCTGCTCAGCCTTGAGTCAGATGATGTCCTAGGCATGGGAGCTGACTTTGAGGTACCTGTAAGCAGTGCACTGCTGAGGACCCAGTGGCCAGCCTGGTGTCTGGGTGTCAGTGATGGAAATGATCCCAAAGCATCCTTGGAGGGCTCGTGCTTGCATTTGCTAGCCCGGACTGTTGCTATGTCTTCAGTACTTTGGTTCTCCATGGTAGCTAGAACAGATTTTTTTCACCCATGTTGCATTCATGTCTTACCTGCACTGCATGTGTTCCCTTGGCGGCTCCTCCATGTGGATGCGGCAGCACTTGGTTTGAGTTATTGCACTCGGATGAGCAGCCTGCTGATTTACTGCAGGAAGCTGTTGGAGGAGTAACGTTGGGGGGTCTTGGATGTGCAGCTGAAGTGCACAAAGAAGGTGATGCTCAGTCTGTCCTGGAAACTCTTCCAGCTCAGAGCTTTTCTGGAGTTTAACAGTATCAGGTGGGAGTTACCGACTTTCAGTTTTGTTTGTTGGCATTCTCCAAGGAGTCTGGGTTGCCCAGTCATATGGTCTCACCTCTGGTTAGTGAGGTGGAAATTACATTTCAGTAACACTGTGAGTTTTGGGAGAATAATGACAGTTTTGTGTAATTGCTGTTGCAGGGGGAGGAAGAGCCCTGTTGGTGCAGTGCTGTGAATCAGGGCTGGGAACCATGCCTGCCACCATGGAAGGACTCTTCTCCCGCAAGCATATGTACCTTCTTTTCACCTCCATGCCTCAGTATTTCTCTTGAAGGAATTGGGTGGGAAGTCACCCATTCCATAGCATGGTTTTCAGGCAGTTCTTTATCACTAAGCTGAATAGCACTAATAGCACTAAGAGCACATCCCCTCCAGGATCCTCCAGGGGTGGACACTAAAAGGTGGTGTTTAATTTTTGGAATAGTATAGCGTTGCTGGAGAGTTCACTTGTTTCTCTCATGGCCTTTCTCCAGCATTAATCGAATTATGAGTGATGACTGGGAGGTGGAGTTGTCCACTCGGTGTCAGTTCTCAAATCTCTCACTCTCCGTAAAGCCACTCTACATAGTACTTAATCTTTGGTCATTCCTAATGATTGCTGAGTTACATTTCTGACATGAGGAGAATGTATGGTGGAAAACGAAATTCCCCATTCACAGCGATAAGGCTCTTATTTTGTTACTAATAGTCACGTTTCAGTAATTCGTTTTCTAAGAGGTGGAATCTCAGCTGCTGACTTCTGGAGCATTCGAGGCCCCTGTAGCACAGCCGAGGACGAACGCAGTGGCTGAGGCACGGCACAGAGCTTGTATCTCTGTCTCTTCTCTGCTCCCTTTGACCTCTTCTTGGGTGCCCTGGCCGCCCACGTGGACGCATGGTCCCTGCAGACCTTCACGTTCCTGCCCGCTGCCCTGCAGCTGTGCCCCAGGCACGTCACAGTGCCCAGGCATGGGAAGGTGGCCTGAGGGCTGCTCATGTTCCTATGGTTGGAGGTACTTTCACCTTGAGAAGCTCGTAAGCCAGCTGCCAGAAGGAGCCATTTATCCACAGTGGCATAAAACACTCTTAAATGTGAAACAGCCTGTTACTAGCAGTTGGAGCTAGCCTGGCTAGCTTAGACTTAAAATTTACTAGCAGCGTTCATGTGATTTATAATAGGAATCCTGCCTTTGGTGGAAGTAACGGTAGAGGTTTGTAATGGAAATATTAAGCTTAGTGTGGATGGAGCATGAATGGAAAAACGTGTGTGAAAACACCAGCAGGAAGGCTAGAGCAAGGGATGCAGGGATGGCCTGTGCTGATGACCAAAGGCACAACCGACAGCAGACAAATGGATAAACACTGCGGGATGCGTGGTTTGCATCAGGACCGGGAGGTCTGTGCTGTGATAAGGCCGCAGCA